TAAAGAATTTGTCCTCGTGACTCTGGTGGGCCATTCCACCCAAGAAAACTGATGAAACATTGATATGAAAAACCTACATATTACTTACGTATTATATACACATTTTGAGAAACTACAATTTTGACTTAGTTACCACACTGTCCCATCATTTTGATTATTGTGTGATTATTACTTAAAGCTATAATTTTGACTCATTAGATGTATGTCTAACAATGTATGTAATTTTTCTTTCCTGGTGGAAATTGGCCTCTATATATACTTTTCTTTGGGCTTTTAAAGTAACTGACCATGCAGTATTTTATGAAAAGCATTATGCACAGGAATGTAAATGAAGCATGAACTAAATACTGTTAAAAAAATCTTTTAAACCTAAATTTTTTGAAATTTCGGCCACTTTGGGGGATGATATCTGGCTCTTTAGCTGCTAAATACTCCACTATATTCACCAGCTAATCGCTAACTTTGTCTGTCTTTGTTATCGATAACTAACCAAATATAAAACTCTTAATGATATTCAATAATATTCAAAAGGGCTAACGTTAACCAACTATCTCGAAATTGCTAAATTTGATGTGCCTCTTTAAATCTGGGCCTTTATACCGGTACTTCTTACTTTGGTTGTCAATTAACTAAATTAGCATTTGCACTTTGTTTATCTAATGCTAGCCAGCAATCTCTCAGTTGAGACGTCCTACATTCATTTGGAGACAAAACAGTTAACGGTTAGAAATAATCCTTGTGAAGGTGTAAAAGAAACAGACACGTTGCTGCAGTATTGGGGAATGTTACAGCCTCTCTAGCTTAATCGCTGTCATTACTTACGTGTGTGCTAGCTAACAATAGGCTAGATGACTAGCATGAATGGAAATTACAGAGGCAAACCAAGACATACAGTCCAGTCCTATAAGATATTTACCGGACTGACAGACCACATCATTATGTCCAGTGAATACGATCCATTAATAAATTGACTTGTTTATGATTGCAGTCTGGTCAGTGATGATAATTTGGCTTTGTATCATGATGCAGCTATCTTGACTTGAGCTGTATGCAGCTGTTGGACAGAGCCATGATCTGTTTAGAGACCAAAACAAACACGCACATTTAGTCGCCATCACGCAATGTCTTCTGTTTTTTTTACTTTGTGAAAGCATTTTTCAGTCAAAGGTGAAACAACACAGATACTTTGGGTTACAGTGGGGCTTGCCATGGCTGCCCCATTCACTTTAATAGAACTGGCACCAAAGACTGGCACCAATGAAAATTAGAACGCTGTCGATGACTTAATGACCCTTCCATCTTTTATAGGTTCCTTGACGCCTGCCAGGAACAAAGATAATGAGAATTAACCGAAATATTAAACACATTTTAAAAAATGAGCTAAAAGATGCTAAAATGCTCCACAGAAGGGAACTGCAGCGTTGGGTGGGTTCATCACTACGATCGGCCCCCTTTCACATTCCATGTAGTCATTTGATCCAATGTTATTATACAAAATGATAATAAAAGCAGCTTAAAAGAATGTTGAAGTTCCCACGTATGGTAGGTAAAATGTTTATTTTAGTAAATAGCAATATTGAAGGGGATAATGATTTTAGGGTCAGACGACAAATACATGTAGGAACTGGCTAGTCGTGAGTAGCCTCTACACCAGCTGTGTTATAAAGACACCAGAGGTCAAAGGTGAAGGTTCTGAGGTCAACTCTTGGTAACAAAGTCAATAAAGGATCAGGTGCATGAGACGCAGCTATTAACTTGAGTATATTAGTCTATGACTCCACACACACAGGATACTGAGAGCTTCCATAAACAGGCACCACAGCACAACCACATTTCCATCCACTGGGAAAGGTGGTCAGAAAAACGAGTAGCAGTGAAATTATATGGAAGAATAGACAAACACAGACGTGGTGGAGGAGCTTCTTCCAAAAATCCCTCATCTTTAATGCTGTGCTGAGTCTGTGGAATATTAACTCGGTGAGAAAAGACTAAAAACAGAGAGCTCTGTCCTTCAAGTATGTATAACCAAAGCCAATGCACACAGAGGCACAAGCCATCTACTCATTCTCACAACAGCACAACAAGAAAGAAGTGTTGAGTACGTGTTCCATCGGTGAGATTTTAGGAAATTCCTTACTGCAATGACTATTAACTACTTCTTTGAAAGTGACTAATCATTCCAATCTTCTGTTTTGCAGAGGCAGATAAAAATGTTGGTCCTGCCTTAAAGAGCTTCTTCTCAGCCAACTGCGAAGCCAAACATTTGTCTTCCACCAGTCAGTACCTTAGAGGAGAGCCTCTGGCCAAAGACAAAGAGAGGCACCTCTCTCTTTGTGTGGGTGAGCTGTTCAGCTGTGGTCTCATCTATGCTTGTAATGATTGGCCTGGTGGGCTGCTTTAGTCCCTCCCAGGCTAAAGACAACTTGATTGATGGATTGGTTTGGCCAATCCCTTTTGGGTTTTGGTGGCTGGGGACTCATTCTGGTTTCAATAGACCTATTCCAGGCAGAGAGGGAGACATTATGTTTCCATCCAGCAGCTCAAAACACAACTATTCACTGCTCTTTTTCTATTTGACTAATGTTTGCGGTTGGAACATTTGGGCTCTGAGATTTGGGAGCTGTCCAGTGCTGAACACGTTGACAGTTTTAGCTCCAGCCACTGTGAGGACATTGTTAGTCTAAAGCCTGTTCCCGTTCTGGCTATAAATGAACCTTAAAGTTCAAAGAGATCATAAACTTCCCACTTCAATTCTCGGTTTAATGTGCTGTTTGTGAATTACTGTTATGACAGACTGCAACAAAGAAGTCTCAAATATTTGCTGCATTGTACATCAGAACACATCACATTTTTATCCAAACAAAGTCAACACATTTCCAGGGCAGCATAACCGTAAAGAAACAAGCCTGTGGCTGACTCAGATGTGAAGCTTATTTTGATTGTCACTACAAGCGAGCGCTTGCCATGATTTGCATTTTTATGGTGCTATTCTGTTAGCTATTAGCACGGTATTAGAGGGGGATGGACCCCATAATCACCTGAGTGACATACTGGTGAGGGCACTTTCATACCATAGAGAAGAATATCAAACCTCGACTGAGGACTGACTTTAGCTTCTACTGAAAATACACCATCAGCAAGATTTTTGACAAAGCTGCTCACTTAAACTCCTTTATTTCATTTTATTTTGAAAAATTACAGTACTTTAGGACTTAACTATTTCATGATCAATTAAACTGCAGATTATTTTCTCAGCCATCTATAAAATGTCAAAAAAATTAAGCCCAAGGTCTTAACGTTTTGTTCGACCAACAGCCCAAAACAAAGATATTCAATTTAAAATGATAGAATAGTGTCAAATCATAACTTTTGAGAAGCTGCAGGCAGAAACATGGGAATGTGTGGCATTTTCTGTAGATCGGCTGATCATTTCACTTAGTGTTTCATCTATCTGAAAGCATCTAGCATTGCTCTTTTTTTTTCATCTTCCAGTGATTCAAAGTGTCTCCTGGAATTGCAGCCGTCTCAGAGCCAGATATGATAAACAACACTGAGGCTGATTGAGTGCAAAGTGTGCAGCAACAGACAGTGAAGCAGCCGAACTGAGCTTGTACTCTATTTTAGTCAGACCTTTTTCTTCCCCACAACACCGCTCACTCTGATCCCTGTGCTCGTATGAGTGCAGTCATCTACATATACACATCTTTGCTGTATGCGTACCGGGGCTCATGGATGCCCTTTCAAATAGGCTACACACTTACACACATCCAGACAGAATGAAATATGCATGCTGTAAACTTTCAGCTGGGTCTCTTAGCCTCATTCCTCACTATTCTCATCCCACAGGCACTACTGCTCTGTTATCTCTTACACACACACACACACACGTCGTACATTTCAGGCTCGTATAGCTCGGTGTTGCCTGGTTAACCACGTCCTTCTTTGTGGCATTGACACACAGCTGGTGGTGGACACACTAACAAGGCCAAGGAAGACAAGACTTGCACTTAGTGAATAGAAACACAATGGGCTTTATTGGGCTGCAGGGGCTCTCATATTCTCAGACAGTACAGCTCATTTGTCAAGGTGACCCGACTGTTCTCCTTCACTGTGATTTGTACATGCCAGTATTTGTTTACAGAGAAAGCATCAATACAAGACTTTCACAAATCCATCCAATCACTCATTTTACTATAATTTGGTCACTTTTTAATCATTTTGTATCTCCAGAGTTAGTTTATAAAGCTAAAGCGAACCTCTGGGATCACTGATAATCCAGTTCCTCTATATAACAGGATCTTTGATGCCATGCCCAGGTGCAGATCAGATTTTTGGCATATGTTCAGCACATGTTGTTCACCAAATTACTCTGATTTACATAATATATTTCACAAACACCTGTTCAAGAGTTCAGATCTGCTTCCACAATTGCATCTCTCAACAGAAGGCACTCTCTCCTCTGATTTCTAATGATTTTGACATCTGTAAAGGAAGATTTAAAAGATGTATGTAACCAAAGTTCTTATGAAGACAGGACATCTCCTTAGCGTAGGACACACGATTACTTGGTGAGTTGATGATTTATGCATGCCCCAACATGGGTTGTAAATATAGACCAAAAATAAAAGCTCTGACCTGTAAATAATTAAAGATATCCCCTACGGGTGCGATTTGTGTGTGTCTAAAGGTTGAGGCTGTGATTGCGCGAGAGGAAAGGCATTTATCAAGAATAACCTACAGCATATGCATATAATTAAATATTGCATGATTAAGCATTGTGAAAAGAACTTCACAATTTTCATAAATTGCAACCTCAGTTTTTTAAAGTGCATTTTTATATTTAAACCAAGAAATAAAACCACTTTGAATCCTCTTCTAGCAGCTGAGCGGTCTCAGGCGCTTCCTGCCAACCGGTGACTTGAGATATCACAGACTGACCAAATGACTGATTTCATAAAGCGTGCATGCGAAGCAAATTATTTCCATGCTTTCAGTCCTACCTTTTCTGTCAAAACGAGACCCGTCTCAGTGGCGCAATCCTCAGGAATGTGAGCTTTGCGCCTCAGTGCAGGTGCTCCCCAAAGCTCCCACAGGGTGAAGAGACGGCCGAACGACGAAACAAGGGTGAAAACAGCACTTTGCAGAGGCAGAAGAAACCGGCGTGAGTGTGTGCACAAGCGCTAGACGTCTTGGACTTGTCACTCCGTCACCAACGTTATCCTCTCCTCGCTGAGCTGCAGCCTATGCGCCGTTCATCGTCACGCGTTGATATCTGCCAGATCGGAATAGATGCGCGCAGATACACACAGCAAGGTGCTGCCTCCGACCCCCTCCTCGCCAGCAGCAACGCTGAGGGAGAGAAGCAAGATCAGTTTGAACAAAGAGGCAAAGCAGTGACAGGCAGACGGCTCCAGCGCCCCCATTCAAAGAGAGAGGGGGGGCACAGGGTGGGTGAGAGGGAGGGTGGGGGGGTGTAAGAGAGCGAGAGGACGGGAGGTGTACTTTATGACCGTAATCCGATTCCTACATAAACCTCAATGGGTGATCCGGTGTCTGAATTAAATTGAAATTTACCCATGAGCTTACAGTCTGACCTAAACCCCCTGATATCCTCATGTCACATCCTCTGTTTCTACACATACCTTCAATCAATCAACTCAACTTGTGCATCACCTAACATCAGGCCTTCTGTTCTATTGAAATAAAATAAAAATCATACAGTATCTGACCAATTAGTGCAGGACTAACGTTTTGACCGATGCCGAGCAGAATTCAGTGCTGCCAAGTGGAAAACACAGCTGCCTCAGACACATCTCACAACAGCCAACATCTCAACACTGCAGCAAGGTCAATACTCAAGTCAGTCTTCATTAGCACATTATGAAAAGCTTGTTTGTTGCTGTAGTTGGCAGCTTTGACCAAGGCCATCTGACCGCAGGCTCAGCTCCTCCACAATTTTCCATCAATGAAGAAATGAGCAGAAGGGCATCAGACTCATACTGCAGGTCTACAGTCGGTTGCTCAACATGACATGCATTTCCCTTGAGTAATGGAGGCAGGAGTTGGTTTTGTACATTGATCGAGCAGCTAATCATGGGAATCAATGACTGAAACCTTTGAGGACAATTCCTCTTTTCACTTATGTGTATAGGAGGTATTTTAGAACAAAGGTGAAATATTTCTTTTAAAGTCTGAGAATTCAGCTTGTTCGCTTTTTAAAATAAGTCAGAGCACTTCTTTTGGGATTCGGGCAAGTGATGTAGCGTTGGTTTTTCAACATTCATTTGAACCTCAGTTTAACCTACCTGTGGGTCAGTCATCAGAAATCCATTCTGTACAGCCAAACTTTGTTTCAAATGCTAGTGGAGATCTAGTTTTATTGAAATAAGTCAGACATAATCAAATAGACAGGGACGGGGAGTTGTGGGGCAGGAAGTAATATTAATAGCCAAATGAAAATACCTTCAAAAGGAATACAAATTGTTGTTTATTACAATTTTAGTTTAATACAAAATGTAGACAACACTTAAGCTTCCAAAACTACTAATCCACCATAAACTAAGCAGAACGGGAGAAACTGAGCTGATGCCACCGGTGGAGAGGTCGACTTCACTGATGAATTCTAGCGCTGGCTCCATCGGGTGCAACGCAACAACCCTCACAGCAAAAATGGTGCAATCTACATTGTGTCCCAGCGCTGGTACTTTCCCGCATAAGGTGAAGGAGCCTCAAGCGTGAGTGCTTAGCCTCCCAACAATGTGGCACTCCGCTTCACTGAAAGAAAGGGGAACACAAAAAGAATCAAAAACAAACCCAGCTGGTCTGACAATGCTTCACTGGAAGAAAAGAAACAAAGAATCAAAACAACTAAGCCAACCAGTTGGCTTGACAATACAGGCAAAATAGTAACAGCAGCAGGTGAGCTTTCAAAAAGGGAAAACTGTGCTCACGAGAGCTCACCATAATGCATACTGAAATGATACACTCCCCACCTCTGGTATTAACACATGGGCTCACCCAAAAAGGTATAGGCAGGACAACAATGGGGTTCCAACACACAATATGCTCAGTGAACATCTGAGATCAAAGCTAGAACAGAGTACAGTCAACTAAATGTGCAGTGTAAAAAAGATGTTAAGTGATTTAACGACATACCTGTAACCCCAAACACTATACCAGCCATGACAGGGTACTAAAGAGTGAGCAAAGACCAACAGGTGCCTTATACAATCTGACCATAACTAGGGAATTGATTGGGTGATGAGCCAGGCCTGGGGCTGCATTCACCAACACTACACATGATTCATATTGACTTGCACATAGGGGAGCATTCCTCACCACGCACCAGACGTTTAGAATACTTCCGTTTTATGGTGCAGCCATAAACACAGGGTTGTTTTGTTCAGGTCGAACTCCCTGGAGCTGTGACTTGAAGCTTTTTTTCAGTAAAACGTTTAATTCTCCTGCATCTCCTTCTGGTCCTCCTCCTGTTGTGTTTAGAGGGAATCAGACACCCGGTAAGAGCCGGATGAATCCCCCACTGTCCTGTTTGTCTCTGTTTTTCCCATCACTCTCACAGCGCCGATGAGGGTCCAGTCAAAAAACCCTTGCCCGTAAATGTGTCTGCTTGTAAAACAAACACGCTGACTGGATCAGGAGCATCGGTAGTAGGCCTGAACCACTGCTATTTCTGATCCAAAGTTTTTGTGGCCTCATATACTTTCTCCTTCTTTTTCACAAAAGTATTAACACACCATCGTTTTTGAATGCCAACAAAACCGAAGCCAAAAAATAACAGTTGCAACGGGATTAGAGGCGAACTATGTTTACACACTCAATACGATTAAATATGACTAAACTATGTTCTCCAAGACATCAAACAGCTTTGTTTAATCTGAATTTCTGCGTTTGAAATGGAGATTTTTTTGGAAGAAAGTTGTTTTTGTATTTTGTGCCACAAAGAAAGAGACAGACACCAAGAAAGCACGATGAGGTATTTCGATGATTGAACTAACATTTGCTTAGAAGACGTTTAGCTGGCTCAGGCCTTGTTGTCATAAACAGTGTGTCTCGTAGAGTCACTCAGCACTACTCCCACCAGCCTGTAGATTTATGTGCTGACAGAAAGAAAAAGCTTTTCTGTTGACCAGAGGTGCACTTAATCACATTTGTACTTCATTGTCCATTCTGCAGGCTAGAACAAAGAATGACACAATGTCCATTAATCTTTGTAATATTTATGTCAGAAGACCACAAACTGTAAGAATACTTCGTCAATATCAGTAATGGACTGGATCAATACTTGTTATTGGAGACTCCCATACCTCTGTGGGCTGGAAAGAGATCAGTGCCACTGTGGAAAGACAATCTGCCCTCAGCTCCAATTCCAGAGGATCAATTTCCAGTTGAATTATAGCAAGTCTTTCCCCGTACCGATAGTCAACCTTGTTTATCCAGTCAGCTCTCAGTTCCTCAGTGTTAAAACTAAGACCCAGAAACTAACAGTGTAAAGATTTATCGTTTGTCTTTCCTTCATTTGAATCCTCTTTCTGAGTTTATAAAAGAAACACTGCGTCACATTTCAAACCGCTTCTACGCCTTCAAATGTCTTACAACATTTCAGGCTTCAGGAAACACCATCATCAGCACATTTTAAAGATTCACATGTCCCCTAACATACAATTGTACTGTTATTGCCCATTAAGCTGCTCTATGTTTGTTTATATCAACAGTGGATGAAAATAATGTGTAATCTCCCTCGGAGTGATGAACCCACTGAGTAGTACTATGCTGTTCTCTTCAGCTCTCCGGAGATTTTTTAACGTCTTTCAGCTCATTGTTTTGGTTTTACAATCTGCAACCTTTCTCAGCGTCATTGTGGGACACAACAGGCAGCTGTTGATACAATCGAGGTAGAAAGACAAAGTAGCTACTAGCTGGTGAACATAGTGGAGCAGCTAGAAGCTAAAGAGGCAGATATTTCCCTCAGGAGATGGTGGAGACCAAAGCAAAGCTACAATTAGAGTAAAAACTGGACTAGCATTGATCATGCAGCAGGGAACAACACTCCAAATGAAATTGCTGTTGCAGAAATATACTTATGAATATTAAACATATAATTTAGAGCAGGAAGTGAAAGTGGATATCTGAGCATGTTTGTGTCCAACGAGATTAAACTTTGAATTACACAGTTTTACAGCATGCTGCACATGCGCTGCTCATAGCCACTAATTCATGCACACACACACACACACACACATATGCAAGGAGGCTTGGCTCAGCCTTAATGTGAGCTGTGACTTTTAGAAATGTCAGGCGCCTCGCCAAAGAGACAAACAATGTCAATCACTCTCCAGCGAGGGAGCAGCCATCCACGCACAATGGAGAACACACAATACACAAGGGAGGCAGGATGAGGACGATGACGCAAACATGACTTCTGTTAAGCTGTTATAGCTTCTTAACGGGAGCGAAATAAGACAGCCAAGTAGCACATGCTGTTTTTGGTGGGAATCAGAGAGTCTAATGAAGCTTTCAGCAGCCTCATGATTTCTTCACACTGATGGAGATGTGTGTTTAGGCTCCTGTGTTTGCTTAGAATTTACGGGGCGGCCTCCTTCATGTGTTTGTTTTTATGGTCATGCTGTTAATGTGAAGAGATCAAACAGGCCAGTAACCAAGCCACATAAAAAGAGAGGAAAACAGGATACCTCCCAGTAGAGAGAGGTCTGAACTCAACTAGATTTGATAAACTCAGCAGTTCTTCAGACTTGGTTTAGCCACCATGCTGCGTTTAAGTCTTTGCGAGGCAAGAGGCCCCATCTGGGAGGCAGCCGAGCAGTTATGGAGGAAGTCAGGGAGACGTGGCGACCACCGATGATAACCACATGGGATACCTCCGATGATAACCACATGGGATACCTCCACACTGTCTAACCACAGGCCGACTAGTTAATATTTACTTTGGTCTAATTTTTACGATTCATGGAACCACATAGATGGTCATTACAGACATAGTTTCATACTTTGTTATGTCATCTCTGGTGGCTGCACAGTAGAAGTTTCAAGGTTTGAAGCTCGCTCTGAAACTGGAAAGACAAGCTTTTATTTCAGTGGAATACTTACTGTGAGAGGTCATTTCTGTAATTCAGTAGTTTGCCAAAAAGCACTTACCTCAAGGTCCAGCGAAGTTCAAAGTAAGTTCAATCACAGAGACTATATTCATGCTTACTCTAAAATGCTCAGCGATGCTTGACATGGAATGCTGTGTTGGTCGAACAGCTGTTGGATGGATCACGATAACGTTTTGCACAGACGTTCATGGTGCCCAGAGGATGAATTCTACTGGTGATATCAGAGATGTCCTCTGACGCCACCATGA